TCACAATCCAATTGGTAACAACGTCATGAACAGCCAAACTGACCAACAATTCATACTTGCTGAAGAAGCAATGAGACATTAACATGATTAAGAATATCTGTGAAATACATCAATAATAAATCTTTAATTACCCACTTCGTCGCTACTGGTCTGGGTCATTCCCAGTGCCACAGCTGTTGGTTGATCTATACTGTACAGTGTTCGAAATAAAACATGATTGAATTTTATTCAAATAGGAGGAAATCTCAAGGACCCTAGGTTCCCCTTAATTTCAAACCCTGGTGGAGAAGATGGACATACAATAGCCAAATTCTGTGATCCTTTTAAGGATCAAGTTGGACACAAGTTCCAAAGCTATCGTAAACATATGATACTTGTATCGCCTTCACTCTTTTGTCGACTTACACTATTGTCACACCAAAACTGCTTTGATGAGCTACACAAGTCAAACACAATTATAATTCCTAGCCAAGGTGTGGCACAATAGTGAGATAAATGATCATGTAGTTGCATTAAAAAATATTGCACTGATTTCAGTTTGCAGTATAAAAGTATGAAATGTCATGCGCAACATGATTTCATTTCAGGAAATGTCACCATGGTATCACTAGTGTACATGGACTGAAATGCAACTTAAACAGTACACAGCAGTGTACACTACATTTGCCAAGGACCACACCTTTCACTAAAGATAACTATTCTTGTCCTTACTATAAATGTCTTGTAGTATATGTGCATTAAATATACAACAACTTATATCTTTAAGGATCAAAACTGGCCATAGTTGGTTCTTAACAAAATCGGTCACCCTAAATTTTGGCAAGACACAATAACTTTGGAAGACAAAACAAGCAAGGAAATAAATACATATTGAATTAAGACAGTTATCTTTATACGATCTGAAACAAATACTCCTTCTGAATACAGAAAAATCTTCACTTCCCTCAAATTACAAGTAATAGTCACTGCTTTATTACAGACTACTGTATTTCTTGCATCTGCATTGAAGCAAGCATACATGTTCTGCTCTAGGACAAAGAAGGCACTATGTACACCATCAAGTACACAGCTTAAATCACAGTATAAATAATGGGTTTTCATGTGGAAATTGACAGTTGTAACAGTCCTTACTTGTACTGTTTGTGTACCTATTTCCTTTGCTTGAAGTAATATTACAGGAAGAATAAAGTTTAAGCTTAGATGGGGATAGACACCCTCATGGAACCATGCCAAAACCAGGTAAGATTTTCTGATGTACTTTATACTGATGATGTCTGGCTACCCTGAAGTCAAATAGACAGCTGTCTAAAGGACAATGTTCCTTTTCAATCCTTGGCCAGATTTGACTCACCGTCAACATATATTGTGATGTCAACATTATATGCATCACTCATACATTAAACATATGGTAAAGAACTGTAGGAAGTATTCATGTAACACTATTTCTTTTACTGGAATATCACAGAAAGGTGATGTATTAAATTTTGATGAAGTTTTATACTTATGATCTTTGCTTATCTCCCTTTCCCTTTGCTTATCTCCCTTTCCCTTTCGAATGGTAGTGGAACACTTGAATCCCTTGAAGTTCCCGAAGCGGACGTACAATACTCACCCACGAGTTACCTCCCTTCCTCTTTCCCGCACAAACGTACCATGTGACGTGCCCAGACTCTCTCCCTTTACGACCAACCCAAAAATCTAATTGATCCTGTCTATCAGTAACAACTTGCCAAAGTATAAGCAAATGAGTAATGGATGTCTCTCTATAGTAGTGTAGTGGACGTGTTGTAGCAGTCCTAAACAGTGAATCAATTCAGTCATAGATTTGTTCCGTAAGTTTCACTTCAACAACTTTCATTAAAAGCACCCAACACAACCACAAATTGTAAACTGTGACATATAAAATACCTGGACATTGGTTAGTATATAGAAACATGAAGTGTTCTTCTTGAAATGGTCTAAACTAAACATGGGTCATGCTTGCATCAAAACACACCCAGTCAGTTGTGAGTTATCTTCATAGTGCCACGGCATAGATTCAGCTGTAAACTTGTCTCTCTAACTTTATCATATTATACAGGGAAATAACTGCAATACACTGGTGATTAGCTAGCACATGTGACAAATATTTTGACAATTCTAAGCAAATGATAATGCCACTTGTCTTAAAACAGCTGAAATGCTTCATTAAAATGTCCATTTTCTTCATAAAACAACAAAACTAGTAGCTATAGCTAACAGTGGTTGTTCTCTAACAATATTGATTCTAATTTTGATTAAGTCAGTAAACTGATCTTAAATATATGAAAACAATAAAATACCTCATTAGGCCATAATGTAGTTTACAGATCATTGCTTAACCAAACAGATATCAACCAGCAAGGTAAAAACATAATTGTAGCTGAGTTGCACAATTCCAATATAAAGACTACTAATATTTCTAATTACAGTTTACTTTTAAAGTCAACAAAATCATAAAATCAGACAACACATGCCAAAAAATACATAAACAACTTACAGCAGTAAATTTTACACTTTAAAAAATCATTACAATATCCATCAAATTACAACAGCGTCTGAACAATTCATTTTGTGATGTATATACACTATACATATTGACGGAAAATGAAGAAATGTTGAACATGTCTGTCCGCTCTCTAGATGTCTGGTTACCAGGGCATACAGTAGTATATACAATGGGGGTTCTGGATCACTTTCAACCAAAGCCTCTGCAAAGCCTTATTTCACAAGTAAGGCTTTGGTCGGGCCCTTAGCTCTTGCTACCATTACCCCTACTATAAAAAAGCCTTACTTGTGAAATAAGGCTTTGCAGAGGCTTTGGTTGAAAGTGATCCAGAACCCCCATTGTATATACTACTCATACTTTGAAACTTTAAAAGGATATAATGGTTTTCGGCAGTGAGTTTAAATGAGGCAGGTCTTAGATACATACCATTTCTGTGCAATTCATGAGATGTGACTTTTAAGCAAAAAGATCCTACAATCAGTGGATCCTTTCCATGTCACCCAGCCTCATGTACCTCTTTTCCTAAGAATATTGAGTACAAAGTTTGTTTTTGTAGATAAAATGAACAGTGCCCTGGTAACCATGGTAACAATGTGAGCAAATATAAATACAATGATTAATGTATCTTCAAGCAATGAACCATGAATTTGATATATGGACAAATTGAAATGCTTTTCAACATATTGCCATTGCAAGAAAAGTAAGCACAATCTAAAATGATATTCTCAAAGTCACAAGTGTATGGAACCAAAAGAAACTTGGGGCTTGTAAGACATATTGTTGTCAAACCATGCTTAGACTAAATAGTGGAAATAGTGGTTTGATAATATTGCTGGGTTTCACCAAACATTCATATAGTATGGGGTCATTGGTAAATCACTTGGAGAATATCACCAATTAACTCACAGGTTATTAACAATTTATATTCACAAATCATGATATGAAAAACTGGTGTTCATGGTGTAAACTTACTGTTTGCCAGTTCTTTGTTGACCTTGACCATTCAATAAAATGCATAAAGCATGCCAACGTTTGAGTACAAAATTGCTGACTTCAAGTTTATGTCACAAACACAATTATTCCTGTTACCATGAAAATAATCTCCAATGTTTGAAGAGTGCAGTGTTATAGAACTTGTAAAAGGGGCAGAAAATTGAAAAGCATACTCACTTCTTTTAAAGCAAGTACAAAATATCCTCAAATTACTCTATTAAACCAGATACCAGTGTTCGCAAGGAATTCATCTTAATTTGCTAACTTACAGATTAAAAAATCATGGAAACTATACCACTTTCATGTTTGTGTTCCCAACGTTAATTGTACAATAGATTAATAGGGTCTTGACCAACCAGTTTTTACAATACATCATTCTGTATTTATTTCATTAAATATTCTTTATCATATTTAGTCAACATAACATGGTCATATCATTGTACACTGATGTGTTCTTCAAAATAACAGGAACTTTACACATAAAACACTTTCTTCATTCAAAGTGGTGTTGTGATCAGTATGTTATATTGAGAAGAGATCATTGTAAAATATATAGGTCAGACCCATGGATGTTTCAGCTCAAGAGTTAACTAAAAAATCAAACTAAATAATTCACTTTTTCCACACCCCAGTAACCATGGTAACCACAACAGCACTGTGAAAAAAAATACAAATACATCGAGGTCAGTTCAGCACTGGTTCAAATTGCAGATCAAGTCTTCCCAGTGGTAGTGAATGGAAAAACCATCCTTTCAACATGTTTAAGAGAACAAATGCTTTAGGCATCTTCAAGTTGACTGAGTTGAATGTGAGAGGTCAGACACTCACATGTATATTAATGCTTGATATTTCCTAGACTTGCCTCGGCATAGAGTGTGAAAATGTAAAAGTCATAATGGTTTGTTCTGTTGCACCTTCTGACAAACTTTGGACAGTAATGCCTCACATGAGATCAATTACATGGAACATGATTATTAACAGGAGGATATAAGAAAACACTAATCTCTCACGAATCTATGCAAACATATCAAGGCCCTTTTCTCCATAGCAGTCTGTCAGAAGTCCATCTGTAATGGTGCAAGGTCAGATTTCTATCTACTTCCATGTCTATGGTCTATCAATATTTAACATATGCCAAGAATTTTTTGAGAAATATGCACTTTTTTTCAGGTTTACAACAACTTTCACTCAAAGACATGTGCCGCTGATGGCTGGACGTCTGGAATCTCAAACAAAGCCTGCATCTTTTTCACAACCTTAAGCCTGTCAGGGATTTATGCAGGATCTTAAGCTATGTATCCATGGTAGCCAAAGCAGGGGAAACAAATGTTACTTTGTTTAAAAGTGGGATTTCTTCAAAATTTCTTAAATTCAGAGAATTTTGTATTTTGAGTGTGTATTTACAGAAGCGATATAAAACAGAGTATTAAAAACTTTGCAATTTATTGGTCCCGTTTCAGTGAAAAACAGGTCCTATTTGAAAAATATAACCATAAAATTATTTATTTTAAATCTATGAAAACAGCAGATGGAAATAATTTCATTCAAATTTAAGATTTTTAACTGACATTTTTAGCAGACTGGGGTTAGATATCAGTCTGCTAGCAGGTCCAGATAGATCCTTGCTGTCAGTATTTTACTGGATATTTGACATAGTCACCATGATGATATGGAAAGATGTTTTTCAGGATCAATTCCAAATAATCACTAGTGATATGGAGCTTTGAAATCTGACATTACACCTGAAGGTTTCAGTTACACCAGTCGTAGCACGATGATGGGTTTTGCAAAACACCCTGAGCTGTACGCCATCTCGTGAACTGACAGACATATTTGTATGATCAGTGTACACAATGACAGGATGACAAACTGCTACATGCTATTGAAAGGAATCTCAGTATAGCCATAATCCTCAGGTTCTGTTTTGATCTGGACAACTTGAGATGAATCATTGCCTTCTGTCGTCTTATTGGCTGAGTTGTCATCCAGGATTTGATTGGCAGAGAAGGAGGGATACTGCCAGGTCTGTGAGTTTGTGTCATTGGACAGGTTGGGTTCCTGTAACTGCTGTAAGAAAGACCCCTGGGAGTACATCTGCCCTTGGTACATCGGCTGCGCTGACCCCGGGTAGAAAACTGCTGTTGTGTTTGGTACAGTCCTTCCCATAGCATCTTGAGGTGTGGATTTTGTGCCATTGTGGATGGTTATTTGACCCTGTGCGCTACTCTGCCCATTTGGCTGGGAGTATATGTGGGCGTTTTGGTACACTGGCATCATTTGAGTGGACAAGGGAACAGAACAAGCAGCAGATATCGGAGTGCCGTAGGGCTGCCCGCCATACTCACTTGGATCATACGGCTTCTCTTGCTTCACTGCAGACCACATCCCATTGGCCGTCTGGCCATGACTAGTTGGTACTGGAATGTTCTGGGGCTGACTAGTTTGGGATTGACTTTGGGCTTTACTTTTCTTGCCTTTGGATTTGGATTTTGCTTCAGCTTTTGGTTTTGGCTCAGTTTTGATAGGTTGGCCATCGGCATCAAGTTCAACTTTGGGCTCAGTTTTAATCTTGAGTTCCAGGTTCGGAAAACACACTTCAGACTCATCAAGGATCGGTTGGTCTCCTCGCAAGTAGTCCCTCAGCTTCTTCAAGGCCAGGTAGAAAGGGACTTTGTCAACAGCTCTTGGCAGCTGAGCACATCGAGCACTGGACGAGGGCATCACATATACCATCTGACAACAATGGACATAGCATTATGTTTCATGTATGAAAATCACATATTGTTGGGAAAATGGTTCAGTTCAATATGTGGAGTGATATTTATGAACAGAATAACAACCATCTGTTTATCAATTTTATAGTCACGAGTCTGCTACTGGGATGAGATAATAAGTGCAAAGAAGCTGTGAGCAATACTTAAGTCATACCACTGTGTGTCAACATGTATGAGAAAAGCTATAGTCATAATAATACTCCGGAATATTCCAGAAACAGCGGATGATACAAAAAGTGGCCATCATATTATAGACATTTTTAAGCTGAAAATCAACAAACCACAATGTTCACACTTTGCATGCCAACAAGTAAGGTCCAAGGGTGCTTTCACAGATATAGATATAGCTGTTATATTCTAACAATATTAACTCCATAACATCATAGTCATTATTCCTGTGCAATGGATTAAACCTTCTCAATGTGTGTTTCTTTTCACTTCTATCCATCAACCAATTCAAAGGAAGAGAAAATATTCACTTCAAACATCATCTGCATATGCATCACTGGGTAAAATGTCCCTTATCAATAATAGCACATCCTAGGTGCCTCATATAACATGATATTGCATGGTGGGAGGGATAATCCTCAAGTAATAGAGGAAGTATTCTTAGGATTATACACATAATAACCTTTTGATAATTACCTAAATGTATAACCTCTTATAACATCATAGCCAGTCCACTATACAACCATAGATCAGATCTAAATCATTATGTATATGACTGATGTCTCCACTTGTTGAGAATGTAACCAGCATGGTTGTTGCAATCCCTTAGATGTTATATTTTTCTTAGATGATGATTATCTCATCATGATGCAGATGATAACAGACCAATGGCTTAAAATACTTTTTTCAAATAATATTCTTAAATTAGAATGAGAGAAGAGTAATAAATGAACTTGAGAATTAAAATCATAAGAGTGTGACTTCATATATATATAGTTATTTTTTTCAATAATCCTCACCAAAATGCCCCTTTACATTACGAAGTTACTAAAATCTAAATATTTTAGATATTTAAATACTTACCTTACCATAGGTCTTATGCATATTACCTCAAGCTCCGCTTAAAAGAGATCACACACTTGTTGATTCGCCATTCTTCTAGAATGGCTGCCTCGTGAATCGACGAGTGTACAGAAACAAAAGTGACGTGATCTCCCCTCCCGCACAAGCGAAGTGACACTCTGCCGAAGTGAGAGACACGAGGCAGCAAGGTAGGTGAAAACTTATTTTTTATTTCCTCTTCACCCACACAAAGAAGATAGGACATATAAAACATACATACCAAATACAAACGTGAACTTTAATGGCTGAAAGTATCAGTAAGTAGCAAGTAGTGAAACAAAAACCGTCTGACTCGCAGTATGCTTGAAGTAAAAGTGATTTTTGGATAGACCGCGGTTGCGTGGGAGGGGAGATCACGTCACTTCGGGTTTTGTACACTCGTCGATTCACAAGGCAGCCATTCTAGAAGAATGGTGAATCAACGACTGTCTGATCTCTTTTAAGCGGAGCTTGAGGTAATATGCATAAGACCTATGGTAACGTAAGTTAAAATTGCCCTTTTCTACGAAGTTACCCTTTCTGAATCCAAGGGGGAACACTAGGCTTCACAGTACTTCAAAGTACTTACTGTATTTGTTCCTTCCACTGGCTCAGGCTGTTTACCCAGAATGAAGTTCTTGTGGCCACAGTACACCTCATAAATACCTGCAGAAAAAACATTAGGAAGTGATGCAAGTACTTAACAAGTGTTTGCCACTGATATGGCAATGTCCCCAGCCGCTAAAGAATGGAATATCTATATTTACTACTTTTTATTTTTGGGTCACATACAAGATGCCTGAAATGACTGGTGTCTGCATAATCACCCAATGTAGGCTGTCAACATACTTGAAAACATTGGGTGCAATGTTTTATGAGATATCGCCTTTAAAAAGCGGTCAAAGTATCGTGGTGACCTTGACGATAAGGTCAAGGTCAGCCAAATAAACTGGTGTCTGTGTAATACCCCAATGTAAACTGTCACCAAATTTGAAGACATTGGGTACAACAGTCCATGAGATGCCGTTTTGAAAAGTGTTAAAAGTGTCGTGGTGACCTTGAAACTACGGTCAAGGTCACCTAAATACACTGGTGTCTGTGAAATCCCCCAATGTAGGCTGTCACCAAATTTGAAGACATTGGGTACAACAGTCCATGAAATATTGCGTTAACAAGAGTTTGAAAAGTGGTCAAAGTGTCGTTATGACCTTGAAAATAAGGTCAAGGTCACCCAAATCGATTGGTGTCTGCATAATCTACCAATGTAGGCTGTCGACAAATTTGAAGACATTGGGTACAACAGTTCATCAGATATCGCGTTAACAAGAATCGGGACGTACGTACGGCTGTACGGCCGGACGCTGCTGAATACATAGTCCCCCGTTCCGCGTTGCGGCGGGGGACAATAAAGCTTCCCAGAACATGACCATGATTACCTGGGGTAGCCCAGAGGTTAAAGTATTTGCTTGTCATGCCAAAGGCCCAGGTTCCATTCCACATATGGGTACAATGTGAGAAGCCCAGTTTTGGTGACGCCTGCTGTGATAAAGCTGGAATATTGCTAAAAGCAATGTAAAACCATACTCAGTCATCCTGATCATCTTTCATGCCCAAATCAATCTCCGTATGATTTTCCCCTGGCATTAAAGACTCAATTTAAGGTAAATGATTCAGCTTTACACACATTACACAGGGTTAAGTGATGTAGCATGATAAACACATCTCACCTTGTGGCAGGGGATAACTGAACCGATTGCTCAAAAAGTAAAAGCTATTCTCTTCAGGATGAGTTACCTTTTCCATTAAATGCTGCAATCTTTGGTTTGTATTTCTGTAGTTTCTCCTTTAGTATACCGGCTCCCTCCTTGATTTCAGTCCTACAATAAAAACAGAATGTCAGTTCTGTGTCAGGAAATTTGGATGTGGGAAGAACTATTCAAGGTTATATGAAGCTGGTCATATTATCACAATGGTGAAACAGCTAAATCTGGAGTTGATTTTGATAAACCATTGCCTCAAATCTGGGATTTTCACAATATTGTTTTGCTTAAGTGTATTGGGTCCAGGCTATAAGCTGACTTTCATAACCTCCATAGTCTGTGAGTGGGGAGTACTACGGTAAGTCTTTTAGAAACAAAAGCAGCATTAAATATCTTGTATTAGCCAGAGTTACTGAACAGCATGGAACAAATAATTACAGCAAAGTCTCAATAAAATCATTAGCATGAAAACAACCTTTTTTCACGACTGTGTATTATTCATGAGGAAAGCAAAGAAGATAAACCGAGAAAGAGAGAGAAAGAGTTATGTCCCTTACCTCTTCAGATCTGCACTTCCTCTTGTGGTCCTAGCACAAATATTTGTGAAGCCAATGCCAAAATTGGGCAGTTCGTGATCCTGGTAAGCATTCATGGGTTCTGGGATCAGTCCTGACAGGTACAGACATTTCCCTGGAAGACGAGCGTAAACTCATGTGTCATTATGTGATTTGCATCACCCACAGATATATGCTTTGAGAATCATGTTGTGTGGACATTTTTAAAAATATCCTGTGGTTAATTTATTTTCCATCTGCACAATCATATTCTGTTCTTTTTACATTGATATTTATATTGGTAAAATATCAGATCTTATTCAAAAATTTGTTTGAACTTGTCGCCTGTGGCTGGTTAACTGGAATTTTTTATTCCTTATTTTGTTAATTGTTTGTTGAAAAAGATAAAACTGAGCTAGATTGAGTGACTTTGGGGAGAAAAGACCTATTACAATCTTTCAAATTCAAATGCAAATGTGAATCATATTGCTTGCAGTTTTTGGATCTGTAATGCCATCTGTCTCTGATAGGGCTTAGATAAATTCATATCAGATGTTACATCTACACAGATTTAGTCCAGTGATGTATGGCTAATTACTGGAGTGAGACACATGCAGCTCTATCATGCTATGAACTGGTCCAGAGAGCACAATGTACTAGGGCTGCAACGAATACACTATGTGGCGAATATGATACGTATCATGAATATTGGGTAACAAATACGAATAATTATTCACTAATACAATATTGTAGTTAAGTGATTGATGTACAATATGGAATGCCCACGTTGACAGTTTTGATTTGTCACAGCAATAACCAGTGATCTCATAACACTCAAATTTGGTATGTAATAGTTATAGTCGACAGTACCATGTGCGGCCTTGGCAAACTAACATGACTTGTGCTACTGCATTGCTAGTACATATTCAATCCTTGCATATCTCACTTTCCAAAAGAAAACAAGGGTTCAAGTAAAACATGCTCCCTTAAAAATTTTTGTAAATATTCGTTAATATTCGGTTCTGGTGACCACGAATAACGAATTGAATTCATGAAGGGCTTCGATTCACCGAATATGTGAGTGAATCATAACAGCCTTACAATGTACACTGTCAGTGTACTAAGTAGATGGAGGGGCGATGGGGTAGCCTAGTGGGTAAAGCATTCACTCATCACACCAAAGACCTGGGTTTGATTCCCCTCATGGGTGCAATGTGTGAAGCCCATTTCTGGTGTCCCCAATCACGATATTGCTGGAATATTGCTAAAAGCGGCGTAAAACTAAACTCTCTCACTCATTACTCAGTTGATACGATTAAATTTAGTTTCAGGAGCATTCAGTGCACTTACAGAAGTGGTTTCCTGGCCCAGCATAATGATGTCCAACGTAGGCAGCAAACAGTCCTGGATTGATCCCAACCTGGTGAGATGAACGCATAGTGATTATACAAAGCTGATACCATTAGGTCTGGTTGTTGTTTAATGCCTCACTCAGCAATATTTGAGCTGTATGGCGGCAATCTGCAAATAATCGTGTCATCAAATAATTAACAGCATGAGCATTGATCTACCCAAATGGATATAATATGTCTAAACCAAGTCGGCGTGTCTGACCACCCAATGTTGTTAGTTGCATCTTATGATAAGCATCGTTACAGAGGACCAATTCTAAGCCGGATTAATATCATAAAGGTGCTATAACTAACATGTTTTTTGTAAGTTTCAAATCAGTTCAACTCAAGGTGGAAATGCCGATTGATCCAGCAAGGTAAGAAGGAATGAAATCTGCCACTAAAAATGCAGTTTCAATGGCCATTTGTCTCAATACTTGGTGAACAGATTGTAATACATATAACTATTCATACATAGTGCATGTGATGCAAAAATAACAAAACAAATTAACAAAAATGTGAGTAAAAGTCAAAAAAGTTAACCTATGTGTCTGTCAGTTTCAGGGAAACACTATCCAACAAATTGAAGTCAAGATCCCTTGATCAAAATCATAAATCTAGGATGTATATATAGGAATCTAAACAAAGTGGCCTGAGAAATCAAAATCAGTGTGAGTAAAACAGAGTGAATCAGCAAATATAATCTGTCACAGTTTTCAAAAAGTAGTAGTGTCCAGTAGAAACATGTGTCTGTCAGTTTCAGGGAATCGCTAACCAACAAATTGAAGTCAAGATCCCTTGATCAATCTTTCATCATAAATCTAGGATGTATATATAGGAATCTAAACAAAGTGGCCTGAGAAAATCAAAATCAGTCATGTCAGTACCTTTCCCAATGCACAAACCAATTAATGCATGTAACCCCAAACAGACAATCTTTCTTGTCAGTTGTAAGCAAGAAGAAGTTTACAATGCATTAAACTTGATGGTAATAATTTTCAGAAGCAATTTTGTTACAGCTGGAGCGATATTACTTACATTCCAGCATTTCAAAATCTGTCTATAAATTTCCAGCACTTCAATGTTAACATGGTGAAATCAAGAAATTTTCATAGGACATGGTTACGTTTAAGCACGTTACTCCCACCACGGACATCATGAACATAACAATATACAAACAATAGCATACACCCTTTATTCCCTTTTTCAGTTATGGTGAGGTTAATAACTGAAGATAATAACACATCCAACAATATTCATGATTCATAACATCATATTGGCTCAACATTATTCAAATTATCTTCCCTTCACTAACCCACTATGTGTACTGATCCGAATTTTCAAACCTTAAACTGGGAGTGGAAGTTGTATGCATGATGTGAGCTGTACGTGTTATTAGTATACTTATAGACAATTAACCAGTGTAGCATTCTCATTTATCGTTTCGTTTAAGATGATATATCTATTGTTATGTCCTGAATTATTTGTTCCATGATTCTATGATACATCAGGGAGGACCATGATTGCTTACATTACGATAATGATTCACCTGATAAACGTTCAAACAAAGCTAAGTGGTGGGATCAGCTGATCGTTCATTTTCGGTCATGTTTTGGCGATTTAAGTCTTGCATTAGATGTTTGAATATCACACTTTTAAACCTGAAGTGTATTTTCATTGCATACCTACTCAAATCTCTGTTGTATTATCACAGATTAGGCTATATGCTTGCAAGCTGATGAGGTACGCAAAATATGAAGGCATTGTATGCAGCGCGAGAATTTTGTTAGCCCGTACATATTTGAATTTTTACAACACAGATATTTACTGAGGGGGGTGAGAAACAATGTTCAGGAAATCGTAAAATAATCAGTCATGGATGAATTGTCAATCATCACCTACATATAATACAATCTTATAAATTTGGAATATATAGAGGAAAATATTATTTTTTCAGACACAGAAGAGGCTATACTAGACTAAATATATTTTCAAGGGTACTTGCAAACTTACCAATTTTTCATCATATACCGGTAAATAAAAAGCAATATATTCACAATAAATTTCAATCTCCATATTGACCCTGTTAGTGTTGTAAATATGGTAAACGTGAAATGACAAACTGATTTTTCATTGCGTTTTTCTCATTATCACCCATCGTGTCAAGTCGTATTGAACTTGGACATTGAACAATTGATGCCGTTGTAAACTAACAATCACTGAAAATATGTCAGTTTTATTTGCATTTTGCCTTAAATGAGCATTTTTTAATGAATTTGTAACAGAGCAAGGCATGAGACTGGCTCTGTTTTTACATGTCGTAGCGCACATTGAATTGGGAACCTGACCAGAAGCAAGAAGTTGGCCCTTCGCTCATACCGTATACCGGGAAATTTTTGAGGTATCTAATTTTCGAGGTTTTCGAGGTTAGAAACGCAACCTCGAAAATATTATATCCATGAACTTTTCCGAACTTCGTACCTTTGCTGGCAAACAATGACTTCCTGACATGCGCATTAACTCTGTAATGCCTGTCTACAACTAATCTGAAGGTTCAGTGACCCTGAACGGCTATTAGACTCATTTTGTCTCGTCAAAATGTAACGACATCGACTGAAACAAACTTTTATTCGTGCGATGGCACGTTTGAGTCAAGCTACTTACATGTATAAACTATCGTAAACAAAAGAGTTCAACTTCTCAGCTTTCTAACAACAACATAGTTTCAGCAGAGACCCATGCATACATGTTTATAATTAGTTAAGAAAACAATATCGTCTGAGAAAAAATGGAGTCATGTTTGAACTCTGCCGACAGTGTTTCATGGGCCATTTATCACAACAAAGGATCAAACGTTTGTTTTCATTACTATTATTGCTGCCATGGACTGGTATACCGGTTGTTATAACAGTCAGACAGCAGTTATCACTGGCTACTAGGAGTTTTGCCGATAGCTCAGTGAGTATTGGTCCGGTAAGTGATGTTTCTGGCCACTTTCTTCTAACCTCGAAATTAACATTGTCTAAAATATTTATATATTTTAGGTCCCCAAACCTCGAAATTTAAATCACCTCGAAATTTTAGGTGTCAAACCTCGAAATTTTAATACCTTGAAAATTTCCCGGTATACGGTATTTCAAAAGGAGAGTTAGGAGCAAACTGATCGCCTATTAACAATTCCTTATAGAGATATGCCATGATATATCCTTATCAAATTCTCTCACTTGTCTTGTGGTTCCTTCTTCACCTTCTTCTTCTTGGCCTTGGATTTGGTAGGGGGTTGATGGTCCTGGGCAGGTTGAGGCTCCTGAGGCTCCTGTTTGATGGGCATTAAGTCAGGGAGCTGCTGGAACCCCGCAGGGAGTTGGAACTGAGCAGGCGTGCTGCAATAGTCAAACATCATACTACTGTATGCTTTGACCATAGCGCCGGGAGGCCCCGGCCGCATCATGTTCATGGGCAGTGGGTTGGGTATCTGTTGGAATCTGGCTGGGAGTTGGAACTGGGCTGGGGTACTGCAATAAGTATACGTCAAACATGCTGAGACTACACATGCTACATCAATACAGTGAGTGAATAACATTTTGCCTAGTCAGCAATATTACACCTGAACTGTCTTAATCAGTGGATAACTGTGTTTATACCAGTCCACATAATTACTGGAGCACATGTGCAATGTAGCCTTTTCATTACATATAAAACAAGACAAAATACATTTTTGTCAAGTATTTCTTTATTATGTTCATATACTATTACTCTAGTTCTAATTCTAGTTGTAGGCTCTTTGGTCAAGTGAGTACAGTCAATATTTCAGTAAAATCTGAGTATGATGCCAAGAGCCATGTTCAGGATGGTAGTGTTTCGAAGTTTTATGAAACAGACTGATACTTATTTTCTGAAATGTTTGTCATTGACAAAATTATATATGGCCACCCCAAAAAGAATCAGTTTCAGCAGCCTTTGTGACCACCAAGTTCCTATTTAATTAACCTCTTGCAACAAACTTTAACATGTAGTTGAACAAATTAAAAGTGATCCTGTTGTTTTGAACAACTTATTTTAGTTCTTAATACATACGCATAGATGTAAAATTGCTGACATGGTTGGGTGAATGCTCACTGCATAATCACGACTATACACACTAGAGGCAAAACACTGGGAAACAAGTGCCAACACCACAATATACTTATACCAGGGTTTTACCTTTACCTACGAAACCAGGGGTACAGAGGTCCCCAATTACTCATTTCACGGGACCTTAGTTGAAATATGATGGTCCATTAAAGTAATGAAATGGAGTAGAGTACTGATCTGTACAATTTTATAATAACTTTGATTACGTTACCTTTATTAATCCCGGCAAGAATTTGGTACAGTAAATATCATTGTGTATATATATTTCATTCTATGCTTACTATAAGCACATTACCGTGTAGTGTAAAACCCTGTTCTGATTATACAACACTAATCACACAGACAGCCAAAGTTGTAATAAAAAGCAAAATACCTTGTTCTATTTTGGTCTAACATGCTCAACCTGAACATCTTATTTTCTTATAAATGACAAAAGCATTTCAAAACAGAATCTAGGTGTAAAACTATACACATGACAAAGGAAAGGTAGTAAACCAAGTGAATAATTGTTTTAGAAATCTTATGAGCTCCAGAGGAGAAACAACACTGATGTTTGTTGCAGTATGTTGTCTTGCTAAGTACAGGGTTACACAGAAACAAAATACTGAAGCTAAAACAGTGACAAAGGATTATGAAGACAGTGAAGTATAAAGACAGTGGAACAACAGATAAGGAAGATGGGCTTGGAATTTTGATTCTTCTGAATATAGCATACAAAATTAATAAACATTCCCTGTTGAGAAACAGTTGACCATTTATTTCAAACAAATTTCACAGGGAAAGAAACATTTCAAAATTTCTCACAAGACCTCAGGGCCAGTGGGTGGACAATGATTAGTGGTCCTGTCTGTACCTCACTGGTCCAAAGTAACATTTGTAGATTTTCTGAACTATC